AGGTGGCAGCTGAAACTCTTGAAGGTTCCCATGGAAACAGGGCCTTGAGTTCCCAGTCAGTATTTTGAAAAGAAGGCAGAAATAATTTTACGAGACATTTCCCAATTAAAAGCTGGATTTCCCAAGATCCTGGTTTTTAAATACCATTTGCCCAATTAAAGGAACTAGGAGTCTTGGCGGAAATGGCTACTTCTAGGGCTGGGGTGGGAAAAACACATGATCAGTCTGGAGCATCTTGTAGTGTCAGAGAGTAAGCATGTGGTGAGCGTGCACATGTGTGGCCACACACATAGTATTGACAGTATGTCAAAAGGACACAGGATGAAATTGGAGGAGCTCCCATTGGCCAAATGTGCAACAAGTTAAAGAACAAGATAAAGATAGTGAACACAGTCTTGTATTATAGCCCAAAGTATTGAATAAATACCCTTGAGTCCATTTTTAGATGTAAACAACTTAATAACTAAGTGGAGACAAAGATACAGGCTTTCCTTACAGAAGAATGTTGAATATTATAGGTAGATAGTCTCTTCATCCAGGAGGTGGCACTAAATTCTTCCATGACTCTTGAGGGATAAATGGGATGAATGACTTGCTCTAAAGAGCAGAGTTTGGAAATAGGACAAACCACAAATTTACAGTGGGGAACCTTGGCCAGCACCACACTGGATCAGTGATCAAAGTTAACATTGACTGTACCAGGTCGTGTTGGTGTCATACAACCCCTGTGATGTGTCATGTAATGAAAAAGACCACCTCTGTGGTCATCACCCTCTAAGTTCAGGACCCCAGTCTAATCGCAAAAGAAAAATTCAAACTGAGAAGCTTTCTACAAAATACATGATTAATACTTTTCAAAACTGCCAAGGTCATGAAAAAGAAGACAAAATTCAGGTAGCAGATGCCAGGGAGACATGACAATTAAGTGCAATGCGGGATCCTTGGTTGGAAGCTGAAAACAGGAAGAGGCCATCAGTGGTAAAGCTGGTTGCAACTGGACACAGTTTTTATTTAAAAGTGATGTGCAAATTTTAATTTCTTACTTTTGATAAATGACTTGGTAAAAAAACTGAATCATCTTTGCAGCTAGAATCCAAAATCTAAACTTATTCCAAAATCAGAGGCTTATTAAAAATATTAGTCCAAGCAAAACACAGTGCCAGATGGATCTGGCTGGAACCTCTGTTGGATCTGCTTTGGAAGGGAAAGAAAAATAAATGTTTCCATGACATTGTTCCCGTGAGTCATCCGATGCTTCAGAAAGCCAACAGGCCTTAACTGAAAGACCAACTTCCATTCATTGTACTTAAATTTATCATCTTTTTGTCCTTCCTATCAATGTACCTCAATCCGTTACTCCTATTTCTGCATAACATTTATGCATTCTTTCTTTCTCCTTCCTGGCATGTTAATAGTTGAAACTCTAGTAGCCTTATTGAGATGACCTTAAGACTTATAGTTCTGTACAATAGAACAATAAAGTAATGTATATTTTGTAATACATTGGATTAATGTGTTGGATTAGGCAACAATGAAATGTTGCTTAATCCAGCACATTGGTTTTAAGACACACCATTATTTTAGGTACCATGGGGGAAAAACACTATCAATTAAAATGTTTTCTTTTTCCTTAGATTTTTTGTTAGATGTTTCTATTCATATTTTAAGATCTATTTTATACACTTATTCAGGTATAATTTTTTCAACAGGTATAATTTGTTCATCACTCTTGGGCATACATACCACAAGGAGATGACACACTACAGTGTTTCAAATATTGCTGTAACTTCTTTTGAGTCACATTTCAACTCTTCTAAATCACTTCTCAGAATCATTGGCAGCTCTTAATATCCTCTTCTGTGCCTTCAAGCATGCTGGTGATGCAGTATTTCTTAGAACAGTAACGCCTCTGATGTCTCTAGGGATTTTTCCTATCTGAGGATCCCACTCTGCTGAGTTGTGAAGTACATGCCCAGACAATGACCAGCATATATTGTGAAATATTATAGACTCCAACATTAAAGGTGTTAAAACGTGTGTTGGAGAGGAGGGGAACCCATGCTCTAGGGAACAGCGGAATATGATGGGAGACTCTCCCAAAGCTTGCATACGTAGCTTACAAATGCAAAAGGAAATCTGTTTTTTAAGATCCTGTTTTTCTGGTCTTTGCGGCTACTTACCACTTAAGCCAATCATGTGGATACACAATTCTTAAAAATAGTATATCATTACCATTATTGCTTTCCTTTGTCAATGTAGCTTATTCCATTGCTAGGTCTGCATTGACCAGGAAATGAAAGCATAATACATTTTCTTCGCCTTCTAGATGGCCTAACAGTTTGCTGATACCTTTGTTTCACCCTTTACTTCAGCTTTCCCAAAGCAAATTCTGCATCAATATTCCTTTGAAGTTCAGCTCAGGACTATAAAAAAAAAACACCCTAAATATCACATTTGTAATAGGATTTTTTTTGTTATTGTAAAATTTGAAGCATGGGATCACTTTTCAGATTACTGATAATGATTTCCTCTACTGAATACTTGATTAGATATGTCTCTCGGGCTTGTGAAAAGAAACTGGAATTGCTAGTAAGTGGAAAAAATTAAAGGAAAATTTAAAAATCAGAAATATAGAGCAAAGTTTAAGAGTAGAGAAGATTCAGGAGAAATGTTGGGTGCTTTGTACTGTTTGTCACACTTTTCTGAGGGAAAAAAATCCTCTCTATTTTTCTGGGAAACGAAGTACAAGTTGTTAGTGACAACCATCTATTAAGAAATTTCCCTTTGTGATAGGGTGAAGATTTTTTCCCCAGAGGTAAATTATTCAACATAGTTAATTTGAATCCATGTTTGAGCCTGAGATGAAGTTATCATTTTTACCATTTCCCCTTAGTCTGTCCTGATATTATCATTGACTGAAACTCCAGTACCCATAGCAACAGTCACCGTTTCAGACATAATTCCCCCAAGCAACAGAGCATGGCCGATGACTGACAATCACCCAGCTGTGTGTTTCATGGTGGTATTTTGCAGGGCTCGAAGACCAAGTCACAGCTTATTCCCAAATATTGCAGGTCACATTATCTAGGGATTGGAAAGGCAGCAAACCCACCAAAAAAAATGTGTTCACCTCTTCTGAAGGGTCGGGAGCAAGAAAGGGTGGCAAAACAGTTGTAGTGCTAGACAAAGTCAAGACAATGGAAAGTGCAAGGGCTGAGCATAACCAGTGAAAATGTCTGCTTTCCACTGCTGTCCCACATTTTCCAGATTGCTTGTGAACCCCCAAAACTGAGCCCAAGGAGGAGATTTAGAGCCCTGGCATTTTTCTTGCAGAACAAGAGAGAAAAGCAATTGAACTGCTGCTGTATCTAGACTTCCCTGCCAGGGATTCTTACAGAAGTGCTGTGAAATGTGACACTACAAGTTGTAGCCTGTAATAGGTGCTAGAGTGTAATTACAATTCTCTTTGAATCATGCAGGTGAAGAAATCCTGTGTTTCTAGGCAAAATTAAAGGATGTAGTTCTAACTAGACTTCATTGCATAATTCTGGGGAAGTTTCTCCAAATCACAGGAAATGGAGAACAGGGATAAAGAGGAGGCCTGGGGGTGGATGCTTGGCCTAGCAGTTCAGGCATCGATGGGGTGTTTGGACCCCATCTGACTGCCTGATTTTGAGGGCTGGCTCTGCTCCCAATTCCAGCTGTTTGCTAATGCCTGCACAGGGAAGGGAAGCATTGCTGGCAACTCAGGTGGTTGAGACACTGCCATCCAGGTGACGGACACGGGTTGAGTGGCTGGCTTCAGCATGGCCTGGCCATGGCTGGTAGGGGGCATTTGGGGGAGTGTGTAGTGGTGTGGACCAGTAGATGGAAGGACACACTCCCTCTCCCTCAAATAAAACTAAAAAGAAAAAACAAATGGAGGAGTGTTCGTAGCCAATACAGAACGAGTCTGGGCTTATCTGTGATTTCGGTAAAGGGGTCAGCAGGCAGTGGTTTACTGCGCAAATTACAGTGCAGTGTGCATGGCAAAGATCCAGGGCTTCTGAAGGCACATGTACTGTGCCACTGTCCCCTCTACCTAGTGTGCCTGAAAAGCGACTCACAATGGAGACATCTGGGTAGCTGGTACACTCTGGGAGTTCCCAGGCCAACAACTTCTTGGGTATCCGGTGCCAGCTAAGTTAACTGTTGCTGCCTGGGTGGCTGAAGGAAGCCTGAGACGGGCGGCAGCCGGGGGTGGAGGGGCTCGAGGGTGTACTTGGGCTGAGAGTTAGAAGCCGTCTGTACCCTGGCCTGGTAGGCACACCTGTAATTAGGGGAGAGACTACAGTGATCCAGGCTGTCAGGAAGAGTGCTGGGGATTTCCCTGCCTTCCAGGGCCGGTTGGCTGGCCGGGTTCCCAGTCTGCCCGCACATTCTTCCTTTGCCCATTCATATACCTGCAGGGTAACAATAGCAATCACCAGCAAAAAAACATGGCACATGGCAGCAGAAGATCCGTGCTCAGGTCCCCAGTCCAAGATTTCTTGCTACTGGGGTTATCGTTTTTCTCACTGTTAAAGACAGTCACGATACCTGCCCTTGCTATTTTCTGAGATTATCAGAAAAATAAAACACAATGATGGGGATACAGGGACTTAGACGTGCAAAGTAATCATAATTGCAAAGTCTTGCTGTACTTCAGTTGTCAAGCCCTTGGCTATGGGAAGGCAGCCTGAGGCTCATCTGCTGTTAGCTCTGCAGCTGATGAGCTTGTCAGCGAGGTACTGGTGCCCTGCTCTCCCCCAGATCCCCAACTTGCTATGGCAGCCCCCTCCCCGCAGCCTCACAGTTTAGAAGGGAACACCAGTACCGTGGTCCCTGAGAACACAGAGAAGACTTTTTTGCCCTATGGGGGTTGGGGCAAAACCTGGACGCCCCATTTAAACCTGCCTGGGGATTGGCCCTGCTCTCAAAGGTGAAGGTTTTACACAGTTCTCTTCAAGAACCATATAACTTTAGTATGAGCAATGCAGGCAGAGCTTGTCGAAGAGATACTCGGCCATGCGGCTGTCCTGGCTGCCCATCCTGCGCAGGTTGGTCAGGTAGTCTCCCAGCTCCTTGAGGTGCTGCACCTGCTGGTGCAGGTAGTGGGTCTCCAGGAAGTGGCAGAGCTCGGGGTCGTCCCTGACAGTGGCCAGCTGGTGCAGGTCCAGGAAGCTCTGGTTGATTCTCTTGGCCAGCTTGAAGGCGCTCTCCATGGCGTGCAGGCCGCTGTCCCAGTGGCTGGGCTGAGGCGCGGGCACTTGGCAGAGCGTGATGCGGCCTCCACGCTGGTTCTGCATTCTGGCCATCTTCTCTGCACGCTCCCTCTCGATCAGCGAGCGCTTCAGGAAGTAGCAGGCGAAGCCCTTGAGCGTCACGTAGTTGCGGTCGAAGTACAAGGCCATGGCCCGGGTCAGGTGGGATGCATAGAGCTGCAGCTGGACATGGACGTCCACTGCAGTCTCACACTCGGGATGGTAATTGTGGCGCACCTGCGAAGGTGAGGCAGCCAGGGTGGGCAGTGCAGGCTATGAGGGTGTGAGGAACAATTCCACAAAGGCAGAGTGGGCATGTGGGCTGCACTGAAGTTAACAGCAGCGCTGGCGGTGGCAGGGTGCCCCCAACGATGAGCAGTTGCTCGGTGTGAGACTGCTGAAAGTCTGGTTCCAAGGCCACCACAGGTCAGAACTGCAGTGTGGGGGCCAGTTATGATGTAACCAGAAGTAGAAAGCTGGACCATTCCAACAGTTAGGAGGGAGTGGGGTGGACAGGGACACAAGCATGGAGGCACATTTTAAATCATTGAATGGCTCAAGACCACATTTTAAAAATTACTACCAATTTGAAACATAATTTATATCTCAAAATTTACCTTTTGAAAGTATAAATTTTTATGGGTTTTACTATATTATGTTCTACAAACATCATGAAAAATCTTATTTCAGAATATTTTCATCACTGTGAAGTGAAATCTTCTCCCCATCTTGCCTCTTCTCTACATCTGGCAACTGCAAATCTACTTCCTATTTCTACGTATTTGCTTACTATGGATGTTTGAAATAAATGAGATTATAAAGTATATGAATTTTAAGTATGGCCTGTCACCTGGCATAAAGTTTAGAATCTTCATCTTTTTATTGCGAGTAGCATTCGGTGTATGTATATTCACATTTTATTTGTCCTATTACAAGTTGGCATTCGGATTGTTTCCATTTTGTGGCTGTAATCACTTATTCTGCTATGAACATTTTCATACAGGTTTCTGTACCCATATGTGTTGGCAGTTTTCTTGGGCATATGCTTAGGAGCAACGATGTTGGGTCATAGGTTAAATATATTTTAACATTTTCAGAAATTGTTTTCCAAATTGCAAGACCATTGGCCTGTTTCCTAAAGAGACTAAACCGTTGTATTTATACTCCTACCAGCAATGTATGAGACTTCCAATACTTAGTGTCTTTTTTTCCTTTAGGCCATCTTAATGGATATAAAATGGTGTTTGTGATTCTGATTTACAATTCCTTAATGACTAATGATGTTGAGTCTCTTTTCAGGTTCATGTTGGGTTTTTATCTTCTTTGGAGAAATGACTAATCAAATTCTTTGCCCATTCTTAAACTGAACTGTTCACCTTTTTATTGAGTTTTAGGAGTTCACAAATATTATGGATATGTGTCTCCATATATGTGACTTATATGAATATTTTCAGATGTATAATTTGTGATGGTTCTGTTGTCTTTTCTATTTTTAATAGTTCTTTTGAAACAAAACTTCTTAATTATGATGAGGTGTTTTTTTGTTGTTGTCACATCTGTTTTGATGTCATTTAAGAAATCATTGCCTGATTCAATGACACAAAGAAACCTACACCTAGGTTTTCTTTTCAGAAATGTAAGGCTCTAGCTATTATATTGAAATCTGATGCATTTTGAGTTATTTCCACATGTGATGTGAAGTTGGGTACCAGCACCAGTAGTTGGGAAGGCTACTCTTCTTTTCACTGAATGGTCCATGGGCTCTTCTTGCAGAAGTCAAGTGACCCTAGTATTTCTGGACTCCTACTCTGTTCTGTCAGTTTAATGTGCTTCTTTTTCAAAATTACATTGGCTATTCTGGGCCCCTTAAATTTCCATATGAATTATAACATGAACTTGTCAATTTGTTTGAGGAAAGAAAACATGCCAGATTGTATTGGATCTGTAGTTAATGTGTTGGGAGGGTAGTGATGTCTTAACAATATTAGTTCTTTTCATCAATAAGTGTGGGATATCTTGTAAGTCATTTAGTGCCAGGGCCTTACAAAAATTAGAGATTCTGATTTAGACTGAGACTGAAAATATGAATATGTGACCAGTATCTCAGGTGATGGAAGACCACACCCTGAGTAGCAACTGTTACACAAGGCAGAAGGAGTAAGTCTCCCATCTGGGTTTGGAGATCAAGCAAACACACATTTGGGTTTCTGTAAGCAAACGTACCTGACCTACCTCATCACCAGCCTTGTGCTAGTTATGCTAGATGTGGATTCCCATGAGGAAAGGAAGAAGCCTTCTTTCTGTTCCAGTATTTATGTAAAACGCCTTAAAATGAGCCTTAAAAAGTAGATATCCTGTTTAGAGGGCTCTTCTGGTTTATCTATATCTTTTATTGTCTTTGAGCCACTTATAACTGCCAATTGTAGAAAACTAGTAATCAAATTATTTTTATCTACAGATATAAAATAATTGTCTAGTGGAATGAAATTAAGTTTTTTTTTTTAAAAAAAAAAGATTTATTTTTCTTGAAAAGGCAGATTTACAGAGAAAAAGAGGGACAGAGAGGAAGATCTTCTGTCCACTGGTTTATTCCCCAACCAGCCACAATGGCTGGAGTTGAGCTGATCGAAAGCCAGGAGCCATTGCAGGGTGCAAGGTCCCAAGGCTTTTGGGTTGTCCTCTACTGCTTTCTCAGGCCACAAGCAGGGAGCTGGATGGGAAGTGGAGCAGCTGGGACACAAACCAGGGCCCAGATGGGATTCCAGCACATGCCAGATGAAAACATTAGCCACTAGTCTACCGTGTCAGGCCTGCAATTAACTTTTGACTAATTTTGTACCTATTTGTACATTTTTTTCAACATTATTTATTGCTTATATATCAGTTCTTTGAAGTTTAATTTCTAACATCTTATTGGTTTCTTCATTATTTAAATATTTTAGACGTCTATATGTTATATTAATGTATATGTATATTCATGTGATAGAAATGCCTCTAGGAGCTGGCTTAGTTAATTAAGCACTTACAACTTGCTTAGCACAGATATAACTTCAGACAATCATTTGAAGCCTAAAGTCCTAACACTTCTGGCTGGGATGTGGACTGAGAAAGAATAGCATGCCCGAGGAAAGGGGAGTAGAAGGCAGCCCGGGGCTGCAAGCAACAACAAAACCCAGTCAAAGGGCAGAGAAAAGCAGGCCACTCGAGACCCTCCTTCAAAGGACAGTGTTGCCACTGTGGAGCTGAGGCTGGCCTGGTGCCTGCTGTGGGATGGGCAGTAAAGTGAAAGGAACCAGGACACAGCTGTAGAGAAGGAGAACCACCTGACAAACAGGGAATGGTGAAAGGTTCCAGGCAGAGAAAGCAGTGCTGTGGGTGTGTGTGCAGGACCCTTACTCCACCAACGCGGTGATATCTTGAGATTTGGTGATTGTTTATAACCCTTGTCTGTACTTTCTGAGGAAGTGATTTTTTTTTTTTTTACCGTACTTAGTACTTGTTGAATTTTTTATATTGTGGAGGATTAAGCTTGTGACTATGAAGTAATTTATATGTATGTTATTGTAAAAATTTTTAATTTTTAAATTTTAAATTTAAAAGAACCAAAAAGGAAGAACAAAGGAGGGTGGGAAGTATCATGTTCTTAAAACTGTACATGTGAAATACATGAAATCTGTTCTCTACATATGTTTTTGAAGATTTATTTTTCTTGGAAAGGCGGATTTATAGAGAGAAGGAGAGACAGATCTTCCATCTGCTGGCTCACTCCTCAAAATGGCTGCAAAGCCAGAGCTGAGCTGATCCAAAGTCAGGATAGAAGTTTCTTCCTGGTCTTCTATGTGGGGGCAGGTCCCAAGGGCTTGGATCAGCCTCCTCTGCTTTCTAGTCCACAAGCAGGAAGTGTGCCAGGTAAGACACAAATCAGTGCCCATATGGGATGTTGGTGCTTGCAGGTACAGGATTAGCTAATTGAGCCATTGTGCCAGCCCTGTATAAATACATTTTTAAAAAGAGAAAACAAGTGATCCCAATTTGTGGATTGATCTGTTACCACGTTAGCTCCCTCTTGTGCATATACTGTTGTCACTGTGGTACCATCTGTCGCAGGTCGTTGCCAGGGCCAACCTCATGGCCTTGAGTCTCTAAAACTGTTAAGCTAAATGAAACTTCCTCCTTGTAAGTGACCCAGCTTTCGACGTTTCATTATGGCAATGGCAAATCGACAAACACAAATAGTCAACAGAGGTTTGAGAGATGGAACATTGACAGATTCCATGAAAATCTGAAGATCTGATGCAAGATCTGGGTAAATTAAACCCTGGGAAAGAGATGGGATTCTGAGCTTGTGGAACCACTGGCAGGATCCCCCATCCTTACTTCTGCAGGACACATACTACTGCAAGTGATGTTGGGGCCACAGATCCTGAGGCTGTACAGTACCCACAAGTGTGGGCTCTGTCACCTGGAGCAGGATGCTTTTAAGTGATGACCAGAGGCAAAGGCATTCTCACCCATTCTGTTTGTTCCTGCAATAGGACAGCTTTTTAGAATGAGGATCAGAGGACATTTTTGTTGCAGCTTCTATTTTATTGCACATTAGAGACATGTCTAATACCTGTACTCATTACAGTCTGCAGAAGAAAAATGTCTGTTATCCCTCCTTGATCTGATTTTTGGAGGAAAAAAATTAATTACCATTTTCTTTATTGAGGAGCAAAACAAAGGCCTCTGCGCCAAGACTTTCCCATTGTATGTACTGATTGCGTAAAGTCGAAGGCTGATATTAATCCAGTAATATATAAATTGCCTGTAAGGTTAGTGCTTTCGAGTTTTGTTCAGTGTGGGGGAAATTTCTGTAGTCCTAGGCCCTGTCTGTTCGCGTCCCTCAGTGGCTACTACCTGCATGTCCTGCGGGCTTAGGCTCCTAAACCCTATGATTTTTGTTGGATTCAGTGGGCAGATGTGAGGACAGTGGGAGAGTGAAGGATTTCTTCCCATTTCTGTGCTTGGGAAGATGATATGGAAGTATCCCTCTTTCTCTGGTAGATTTCCCTCCCTGACTGAAGTAGAACCAGTCTCTGGGTAGGCCTTCTGTGAATGCTGCTCACTGCATTAACTGCAAAGAACAGGTGTTCTGGGCTTAGAATGCATGACCAGAGAAATGCAGGGGACCCAGAAACAAGTGTGCAGCTGGACATTCCTTCAGGCCAGAAAATTATAGAAACAGGAGAAATAAAGATGCTGTTTGGCAACAAAATAATGACCTGCATGGA